CTGCATCGGCAGGCGGACTCTCAACCACTGCGCCACCAGGGAAGCCCTGGAATTCATTTTTAATAGGGCCATAATTTACTGGCCCGCTTCATAGCCCAAATCCGTAAATGGAGAAACTTGAGGTTTACCTTCCTGAGGTTCTCAGTAAGCTACATTCTAAGTCTTCCCTCTCTCGGATTCTACCTCTGTGCTTCCCTCTCTCTGCATCTGATATCTAGATAACGTGTTGAAAAGGGGAAAAGAGGAATTATTTTTGGTTCAGCCACAAGGAGAAGAGCCACGTGATGCCAGGAATAGGATGCCTCTGTTCTTCATGTCCCTGTTTCTACAAAACTGCAGTGGAAAGCCTGGCCTCTCGGGAGTCTTCCCTGAGAACTCCTGAACATAACCAAAGTCGAACCAGCAACAACGTAGTCTTGACTTCTGCCACATTTCTGCCAACAATATTTTAGTTAGCAGACTAACTAAAATATCTTTCCTTCCAGATTTCAAGACTGGTCTTTAGAAAAATAGTTATTACCTGGTAGAAAGGATTTGAGTTAAATTAATGGATCTCAACCTGGGGGCCACAGGTGGGCTTTGGTGTTGGGGGGTGGTGCCTGTGACCCTTCATCTGATTCTCAAAAGGATTCAAAACCTTCAAAAGGTTAAGAACCACTGAGCTAGCTCAACCAGAACCAAGAAAAAAAAAGGCAAAAATTTTAGAGAGACTGTCAATCAACTACCTCTCAACCACCCGCGGATTCCTTTTTTTTTTTCTTATGAAGTTTCTGTACTTTTTTGTTTGCCCACATGTTTAGACGTATCTTATCTTACCTTTGACTTTTTTTTTTAACAGCACCTGCATAAGCTTTCACTGGGATTTATGTTTGAGAATGATCTCTGAATATATATGTAGTAGATGTCTACTGGTTCTTATTCTAGTGAAACAGACAGCAACAGAATGTGATAGACAGTGATTATTAAAGTTCAGGCTCTTAAATTTGTCTGGAACACTGGACTAGTTAACTGGGTAAGGTCTCTTCTGTGATTAAATAATTCCATTAACACAGTAACAATAAAAGTACAATTCTTCGAATAACATCCCATCAGCAAACCATGCGACAGGAAGCCTAGAAATCATAAGCAATGGAATGATGGTGAATGTTAAAATTACTGTAATTCCATGAGGCTAGGAAGCAAGTGATTGATATTCAAAGAGACAGCTAGCTCCGTGACGATTCTTTCAGATATTGTAAGATCCAAGTGATTCTTAAGCACGTGCTTTTTCAAAGCATGGATGGAATGGGGGCCGCATGCCTAGCAAGCACTGTCAGAGATACTGCTAAGGACCAAAGAGCCATTCCAGAGAACGTCTCCCAGGACAAACATGCGGAATGCAAGGCCATATCAGCTGTGCTGATGCCGCTTCAGAATGTGGTGGACAAAATGAATGGAGGAGAGAGAGGAGATGAGGCAAAGTCAGTCTTGTGTTTAAATTTTCTCACCTGGAATTACAGAGATAGTTTTCAAAGCTCGCAGAACCCTGAATGTTCTCAGCGCTGAGACATTGCCCAGGTCCACAAACTCTGTCACATATCTGTAGCAAGGGAGGTCACGCACAGACACAAATGACAAACACGGACACAAACACAAACACCGAAGGAAAAAAACAGAACCACAACAAAACAAAAAGTACAATACGTCACGTCAGGGCCCTAACCCAACACCTGACACCAAGCCCGGGCCATCTTACCTGGGATTACCGAAATAGTTTTCAAAGCCCTCAGTACCCTGAAAGTGCGCAGAGCTGAAACATTGCCTAGGCTTACAAACTCTGTTATATACCTGCAGAATCAAACCAGAGTTAACTTGTAATGGTACCACTGGGCGAGGGTTTGAGAACGGGGGTAAGGAAGGGGCTCATATACAAGCTGTGATTTCATTTATTTCCTTGAAAAAGAAAAGTTTCAAAATATAAACATTTAAGGAACACATTTTTTTTTTCAATTGGGCAAGGAGAATTCAAAAGTGTATTTGAAAGAAGTGATACCACCAGAAGGTTCCTAGGGCTTCCTTTCTTCCTCAGCATTGTGATGTGCAGATCCCAGTCAGAATGACTACTTAGTCCGTTCACTTTTTTTTAGTAAAAAGGAAGGCCAGGAGGTATTCAAAGGCTTATGTCTCCAAGCTTTATGAACAATTTCTTAGGAAAAGGAGACAAATTTCTGCAACAGGGGTCTCATAAAAACAAACCTACATTAAAGTAACTCCCTAGTTGATAATGGCAAAAATGCCTAAAATCTCTGCATAAATGACTTATCTAAGAGTTGTATGCATATCTTTGCAGTCATGCCTACAGATGAAGTTTTAGCCCGTGACATACAGAAACAGGGCTCAGGAAAAATCTAGATCATGGGATCAGAGCCAATATTGTGTTAAGTGCTCATTTAAGTGCCAATGTGGCACTGTGGCACTGTGTTAAGTGCCAATATTGTGTTAAGTGCTCACCAGCTCTGTGCCTAGCAAGGACACTTAAATTTTAAATGAACACCAATGTGTATTCATAATGCTGGAAAGCTAGAAATTGTCTTAATATAACAGAAAGTCAAAGTTCCAGTTTCAAATATTCAATGCATATCATTCATTCACACTTTACAGTTGAAATACATTTTTCTATCTGATGTTCAGACCCACACATACACAAATGCACTCAATTTCTTACACGTCTGTGTGCATACACATAAACACACACACAATCTATACAACACACTTAGCCCCTACCAAACCACAAAGTACTTTCCCAACCTGAAAATAAAAATAAAGTCTGCTATAACTCTTCTATCACCAGCTAAACTTCCCAAAGAGATACATTTTCATTGTTAAAACAACACAGATTACCCTAGCATACCAATGTGGGGTTACACTGCTCCCCAGTAATAATAGTTTGAAGCTCTGGTCGGTAATTCTTTACGAAGTGACCAGATTGGATACACTTGGCTCATGTTTTGACTCTAAAATATGCTCTGAATTCCGCAATATCTGGATAGCCTCATGAAATTACATGTGATATAACATACCCAGGACACTGAGTTCCAGCCTAAGGTTTACACCTAAAAAATCTGAGGTCTTCACTGAGGCCGCCTAGTGATAATTGTGCGACCCCGGGTCAATGCTGTAGGGGAAAATAAAATATGAGGGAGTGTCAATGGGAAATCACTTCCTACTTTCTCTCCCAGCTGTCAAGCCTCTGCTCACCATCTCCCATATATACATGCTGTCATTTCCTGAACCACAAGAGGCCCTCATAAGCAAGAATCACAGGCATAAGTCCATACCACCTTACACGGTTATCCATTAATTCCTCATACAACTAAGCCCACAAACTCACACTTACAAACTGTCATACAAACACACCCAAGAGTACAACCACACACACATAATCACCCAGAACACCAATAAAGTAAGCAGAGAACTTACGCCATCATGATGACACTGAAATCTAACCAGTTCCACGGATCCCGTAAAAAGGTAAAGCCATCTATGCAGAAACCTCTTGCAATGATTTTCACTAGTGATTCAAATGTATAAATCCCTGTGAACGTGTACCTGTCAAAGAAATGGATATCTTGAGGTAATTTCTGAACAGACAGAAACTTTAAATGAATCTTTTAAGATAACACTTGCCGACGGATGGCTTCAACTAACAGAGACAAAACAGAAAGAACACAGCCAATGCAGCAGAAAGGAAGTGAGGAAGAGAAAGGGATGCTTCAAATGAAAATTACTGAAATGCACAAAGCAAGAACTCTGGAATGTTGCACTGGGCCCTGACGGGTATTGCAAAGAAAAAACTCTGTATTGCCATCTAGCACATGATCATTTTGAACCAGGCGAGGAGGCCCCACAGTTAATTTTAACTTGAGACAAGTCAAAAAGAAAGGGAAAGCTAATGTTGGAGAAGAAGGCAGTATCATCAGGAACTGAGGGTACAAGATGGTGATGGGGCAGCAAGTCAAAGCATTGGCTGACACAGGAGAGGGCAGAGGTGATGAGTAGTAACTTCCAGGGCATACTTTCTCTTTCTAGAGTTGACTTCTAAGGATAGTTCTTAAATTCCACACGTATCCTCACACATCTTTGTGACATGAAAAGTGGGCAATAATTTTCTTCCTTGGTGGATAAGCTGTGCAGTGCAAGATTCAGTGACTAAAAATACTTAAAACAAGCTGGCAGAAAAATAAATAAATGAGCTACTTACTCCACATTCTTCGACCATTCAGGAGGGTTACTAAAAGTCATGAATACACAGTTGGTCAAAATAGTGCACATAATGATCATGCTAAACACTGTAGAAAAAAGTCAAGGGAGAATATACAAAATCTGGCCAGTTTTTATCCTCAGGAAGCAAACACACATCGCATTGGGTATCACAGGAATTAAATCAGTAACCTGAAAGGAGACAAAGCACAGAGAGGAGGAAAAGGCGAGGTGATAATGAAAACTGTGGTCATCACCATGAACAGAGAGCGCCACCATGTGTACCCACACCTGGCCAGAGAATGTGAGTGGACACAGCAGCATGGCCACTCTCTTTCAAAAGCACTGTCACTGCTCTACTCCTTTTGGATAAACATTTCTCCCTCTTACCACTTATGCCTCTAAATACCTCTCTGCCCAATAACCAGAAATCTTGCAGTCCACCAGATGCCAAAGTCATCAGGTGAGAAAATAAATTAAATCTAATCTATATTATTCAGTAGTCATTTATTGTTAATTATCTTGCATTACCCGTTATTTGGAAATGTGCATGTCATTAATGATTTTTCTTTTTTTTAATAGTCTTCCAAAGGTCTGATTGTTCTTGTGGGGCAAGGCAACAGTCAATGTACGCTGAATTTGTCCAATCTGGGAAACCAGTTATGGTACACTGGGTAAGGATTTTAAGGACATCTGCACCACCGTACTCCTAAGAATTAGGTAACGAGGCAAATTCATCTGATCATTCTGAAAGTGCCTGGGAATGTTTATGGGTAGCAAATCATTCTGTTGCCATTTTAATTCCATCCAGGATCTCTCTCAGCCCTTCCTGTTCTTGTCTACTGAGAAAAATTAAACGGCTTCAGGTCAATATGAGTTACTCGAACTCAAACTGTCACTTTAATAAGCACAGAGGCCATATCTCATTTGTTGCTAATTCACTCTCTCTTGCTAATGGCATTCACTATCTTCATTCTATTAGTGGAGTTTTAAAAAGAAAAACTACTTCTTACAGCTGGATTTTTTTCTTCACTACAGCTGTATTTTTCTTCAGGGAATAACAACATGTTCTGGCTAGAAGAGAAAAAACACCATCTTCTGATCCAGCAAAAAGGGAAGTCCATTGTGAGTTATTTATTTACTTATAAACCTTTAGATTTCAGATCTATGTTGCTTGTAAACCGAAGATTCCAGACCAGGTTGCGAAGTTCTTACTGTTAATAAAACGTGCAAAAGCTTAGCAAACCTATGTACAAAGTAGCAACTGCTGGTTTCCTCATCCTACTTGGAGGGTACAAAAACCCTGAAGCATGGGACTAAGTACTGTCAAATTGAAGGCCAACCATGAAAGTTTAAAGTCACTATGCAAAGTTGCTAACCCTATCACATAATTTGTCATCTGTCATATACTCTCCTATATTAATAAGACATAAAAGTCAAGCCACATGAATAAATGGGCATTTTCTGTTTAAGGGGAGCAAAAACACCAAAACAGGTTCATAGCAATCTTGCAATCTAGATCTAAACCTCTGTACCAAGGAGGCCATTTAATCTGAAAAACTATCCTAGATACTTTCTAAGCTCACTGTTCAAGAAATCAAAAATATTCAAGGCAGATCTCTAAAACACTCATTCAATTATTTGTAACTCAAGAAGTAGCCTTTCAAAAATTCTAATATGGACTTTAATATATAAGAAGCTGAACAATCTTGAAGTCTGAGTGCTTTAAAATGTAAGACTTCAGTAAAAGGTTACCATCTTCATTTGTTGCTCTTAATGATACCCACAAAATTCCAGACTCCCATGACATCATCCTAAGAAAAAAGAATTTGCTGCAGCTCAACTCAGGATTCAGCAGAAGTCACTCTTAAAACTTCTAACTGGTGGGATAGTCACCTACACTATTGGTAAAATACTTAATATACAATCAAGTTGTCCACATTCAGAAACACACACCAGCGACCATGCAACTCCTGCACGCACTCCACATTTGCAGAAAAGGATATGAATGTATCAAAATTTTAATAGCTATTCTTCGTATCAGGTTAAAAGGACTTAAAATGTACAAGGCAGGCGTGGCACTAAATCTGAAGAGAGTTTTCCCTCTGTTTAATACTACAAAGGTCTGTGGAAAAAGAGAGAGAGAAATTATTAAAGCATGGGAATTAATCATCACATGAAACAACATTTTTCTAGGCAAGAAATAAACTCAAATGTACTTGTAAGTTTTACTTCCCAGTTTGGTGTCTAGGGCAAGAAACCTTCAGGCAATATTAAGGCAAGAGAAACCTCTTTCCCTCACCTCCCTCCCCGCTCCCTGCCCCAGATTACATTACAAATAGATGACACTATCTCAGCAGTTTTACAGAATAAACTTTCCTTTCAGAAACAAGACATTTGAATTATACATAAACTATTTCATGCCAGCTCTGGACAACATACTTAAGTTTATTTTTGTTTCCCTTTTTTTTGTTTTTTTGCGGTACGCGCGCCTCTCACTGCTGTGGCCTCTCCCGTTGCGGAGCACAGGCTCTGGACGCACAGGCTCAGTGGCCATGGCTCACGGGCCCAGCCGCTCCGCGGCACGTGGGATCTTGCCGGACCAGGGCACGAACCCGTGTCCCCTGAATCGGCAGGAGGACTCTCAACCACTGCACCACCAGGGAAGTCTTAAGTTTATTAATTTAGGATTCATTCACTCAACAAATATTTACTCAGTGCCTACTATATGCCAGGCAACGTTCTAGGTGCTTGGGAAGTATCAGTAAACAAGGCCACCCTAGTGTGAGGAGCTTATACTCTAAGGGGGGAGACAGATAATAAATAAAAAACATAATGAGTAAGTAAATTACACCAAATGTGATAAGTGCTATGGAAAAAGGAAGAAGATCAGGGAAAGGAGGCTCTAGAGTGCAGGGGTCAGGGGATGGGGTGAATGGAGAGATGACAGGTTTGGTGTTTTTTTTTTTTGAAGTATAGTAGATTTACAATGTTGTGCCCATCTCTGCTGTACAGCAAAGTGACTCAGTTATACACATATACACATTCTTTTTTTTTTTAAATAGTCTTTTCCATTATGGTTTATCCCACGAGATTGGATATAGTTCCCTGTGCTACACGATAGGACCCTATTGTTTATCCATTCTAAATGTAATAGTTTGCATCTATCAACCCCAAACTCCGAGTCTATCCCTCTCAGGTGGTCAGGGTAAGCCTACCGAGAAGAGAGATTTGAGCAAAAACTCAAAGGAGGTGAGGAGGGTTCTTCATTCCGCCAGTATTTACCTACCAAGTCTACTCTGTCTGGCTTTTAAGAGCCTCCATTATCAGCCTTGCCAAAATCATTCCTGGCATGAATCCTCCTGTCTTGCCAAACCAGTACAGGTTATAGTCATTTAAACTTTGGTCTTGGCTCTCATTGCTCATCCTACCCAGAATGCCTTTTCCTGTCGCATGACCTCAATTCAATTAAAATCTTTTTGAGCATGTTTTGTGCCGAGCATTGTGCTAAGCTCCTTGGATACAAGATTGAATAAAATTGTACTTTTAGGGAAGACATATATGTGAACTAGTAATTATGATGCAGGGTAAATACGAAGTTCAGTAACAAAAATATGCGTAATGTATGAGGCAGCAGGAGAGAGAGATTTTTCCCCCATTGGGTGGGAAATGCAAGGGAAGAGAGTGGGTTGCGAGGTGTTCACAAAGGCAGGTAACTAAACATTTGGAAGGGGTTTTAAAGGACAAGCGGAGATTAAGAGAGATTAATTGGGCAGATAAAGGAGGAAGGGTTGAAAAAAAAAAAAAAAAAAAAGGAGGAAGGGGTGGCAAGGAAAGGGACCAACATAGGATTACAAAGGCACAGTAGCACAGAACTGTGGGTGTTTTCAGGGAATTGATAAGTAATTCAGTGTTGATGGGGGATAAAATAGAGAGGGGGAGCAGCAGACTGTGAAGCTGGAGAGAGATGTAGGGGCCTACCAGACTGAGTTCCTGAGGACACAAGGTCAGTGGCAAGTACACAGCCCTAGCATCTCACCGTGCAGGTGAAAAAAGCAAATGGTCAAATGCTAGCCATTTTAAGTAGGTTTTTGGTTTTGTTCTGTTTTTTAATTTAAAGCAATACACGTTCATAATCATTAAAAAAGGAAGAGAGGACGGGCTTCCCTGGTGGCGCAGTGGTTGGGAGTCCACCTGCCGATGCAGGGGACGCGGGTTTGTGCCCCAGTCCGGGAGGATCCCACATGCCGCGGAGCGGCTGGGCCCGTGAGCCATGGCCACTGAGCCTGCGCGTATTGTTATGGTTCAATGCAATCTCTATCAAAATTTCAACTGCCTTTTTGGGCACAAACTAACAAGCTGATCCTAAAATCTGTATAGAAATTTAAGGGAACCAAAATAGCCAAAACAATCTTGAAAAAATAAGGACAAAGTTGAAGACTCGCACTTCTCCATTTCAAAGCTTACCACAAAGCTATAATAATCAAAACTGCGGTACTAACATAAGAATAGCCAAACACATCAATAGGATAGAATTGAGAGTCCAGAAATAAACCCATACGTCTATAGTCAATTGATTTTCGACAAGGGTTCCAAGACGATTTAAAGGGGAAAGAGCAGTCTTCAATAAATGGTGCTGGGACAACTTGATAACCACATGCAAAAGAATGAATCTGAACCTCTATCTGACACCCGATATGAAAATTAACTCAAAATAGATCAAAGACCTAAATGTAAAGGCTAAAACTATAAAACTCATTGAAGAAAACATAGGTGTAGATCTTTATACCTTTGGATTAGGCAATGGTGTCATAGGTGTGACACCTAAAGCACGAGCAACCAACGAAAAAAATAGATAAACGAGACTTCATCAAAATTCAAAACTTTTGTGCAGCAAATGACACTATTAAGAAAGTGAAAAGACAACCCAAAGGATGGGTGAAAATATTTGCAAATCATGTATCTAATAAGGGTTTAGCAGCCAGAATAGATTAAAAAAAAAAACAACACCTACGACTCGACAGTAAAAAGACAAATAATCCAACTTAAAAATGGGTAAGGATTTAAATAGACATTTCTACAAAGCAGATATACAAACAGCCAATAAGCACATGAAAAGATATTCAACATTATTAGTCATTAGGGAAATGCAAATAAAACCACAATGAGATACCTCTTTACATCCACTAGGATGGTAATAATTTAAAAAAAGAACATGGAAAATAACAAATGCTGGCAAGAATATAAAGAAACTGGAACTCTCATATATTACTGGCAGGAATATAAAATTGTTAATCCACTTTGGAAAACAGTTGGCAGTTCCTCAAAAGTTAAACAATGAGTTACCACATGACCCAGCAATTCCACTCCTAGCTATATATCCAGGGGAACTAAAAACAGGTTCACACAAAAATGTATACATGGATGTTCATAAAAGCACTATTCAAAATACTGCAAAAGTGGAAACAACCCATCAGCTGACAAACAGGTAAACAAAATGTGGCATATATCCATGTAACAGGATACTCTCCAGTCTTAAAAGGATTGAAATTCTGACATATGCTACAACATAGATGAACCTGGAAGACATTATGCTAAGTGAAATAAGCCAGACACAAAAGGACAAATGTTATATGATTCCACTTATCTGAGGTATCTAGAATTAGCAAATTCATAGAGACAGAAAGTAGAATAGAGTTTATGAGGGGCCTCAGGCAGGAGGATTGGACAGTTATTGTTTAATGGGCAAAGTTTCTGTTTGGGATGATAAAAAAATTTGTGGACATGGACAGTGGCGATATGGTTGTACAACATGGTGGATGTATTTAATACCACTGAATTGTGCACTTAAAAATGGTTAAAATGGTAAATTTTGTGTTATGTATAGTTTACCACAATAAAAATATATTGACCCTTGAACAACGTGGGTTTGAACTGCTCAGGTCCACCTGTACGTGGATTTTTTCAATAGTAAATCCTACAGTGCTACACGCTCCACAGTCGGTTGAATCTGTGGCTGCGGAAGCACCGGTACAGAGGAACCGCAGACACTAAGGGACCGCAGGTGTGGGGGACACTGCATGTTTGGAGGGCTGGCTAGAAATTATATGTGGATTTTCAACTATGCTGAGGGTCCATGGCCTTAACCCCTGCATCGTTCAAAAGTCAACTGTACATTATTACCTGAAAAGTGCCCAGTAAGGTGTTATTGATACATTTTTAAAAATCAGTTTTATTACAAGCCAAATAATAGAATTAAGAATAGTAATAGCTAAAAGTGGTTCCCAACCCATTCTGAACTTCAGAAAGATTTAAGGAGCTTTTTGAAAAATAAGGACATCTGGGCCAAGAAAAAAAGAAAGAGAATTTAAGTGTTTATACATGCTACAACATGGTCTTGCAAAATCTTGAAAAGAGTTCAGACACAAAAGGCCACATGTTGTACGATTTCGTTTATGTGAAATGTCCAGAACAGGCAAATCTTGATGGAAAGTTGGTTAGTGGCTGCCTAGGGCTGGATGGAGAGGGGATTAGGAACTCGCTGCAAATGGGTCTCTCTAGGGTGATGAAAGTGTTGTGAAACTAGATAGTGGTAATGCCTGCAAACCTTGTGAACAAAAAGCCAATGAATTGTACACTTTAAAATGGTGGATTTTCTAGCTTGTGAACTGTATCTCAATGAAAACAAAACACCACAAAAACACACACAAAACTGAACCATGTAAGAGGTATAAGACATATAAAAAGTTCTAAAGAACGATACCACAAACATTTATGCACCCATCAGTTAGCCTAGGAAATAACGCCTTACCAATACTGCTCCTTTCTGCACTCCTTTCCAAATACACACTCTCCTTCCCACAGAGGTCAGCGATATTTTGAATTTGGTACTGAGGTCCCACCTTTTGTGGTATATTTCCAGTTACTCTGAGCTCCCCCTTTTCTACACTCAGAGTTTGTGTCTTTCGTTATTCTCCCAGCTCTTTTTGTACCCTCCCCTCCACCCTCTCCACCTACTCCTAGAACTAAGTTTCAAGCTCTTGGAGAGCGGGAACCAACCTCACTCCTCCCACTGCCTCCCACAGCTCCAATATAATGCTCAGGCCAAGCACTCCCAATAAACGG